CTGTAGGCCTCAACCGACCAATGCCACTACGCTATGGCTCTGATGTCCAACTGCCGTGCCGGTCTAGCGGCATGTGCTGCGAAGAATGCCATCTTTGCCTTACGGAGGAAATGCCCGGCCTCGCCAATGCCACACGACTCCGCGTACTCTTCTAGAGGACCGAAAAGCCTAGACAGTTCCGCGAACGACGGCGGCGCCTTCATCCCTCCACCCCCCTCACTCTCAGAATCTTCGGTGTTGTCTAGCTCTACATAGCTCGTCGTCAGAAAAGGTGTCCTCTTGGACGTACGTGTGGCCAACCTTCTCAAAAAAAATCTTTTGCGCCTTCAGACAGAGCTTGCCGTGAGATACAGGGGGGCTCCGACGTTTTGAAATGCCGTTATTGGGGAGATGAGATGCCCAAAATGCCATTATCGAGGGCCCCGTCCTCAATAGTGTTACAATCAGCTGGTTGCAATGCCACATTACGGGTTGAGATTGTGACAAGAGATTTTGATGCCACTATTGAGGGCATTTTTCACTATTCAGGGTGCCACTATATCGGGACCACTACTGTAGTCCCACCACGACTGCTGGAGCGCGATCCAGTAAGGCTGTATCTTCGGTGTCCGCGTCAACCACCACGTTCGACGAAAGTCGTAAGGTCGTCCCTTCAGTAGAGCCCAACCATTGTCCCTTTGGTTGTTTGGTTGTGCACTTCGTTTTGGCCGCAGTGCCAGGTGTCTCATGTGGTTCTCACTTTCTACAACAGCTCCACACCTGTCTCGCTACTCCCTCCAGTTGTACGAGCGCTCTCGTCTCGTCTTTCTCCTCTTTTCTCTCTGCACCTTTTGTCTTTCCCTCGGTCGCGCGTGTGAATATATATGCGCTGCGGCGTCCACGGCACACGGCACACACGGCACACGGCATCCGGCACCCATCAGTAGTTCCGCCGCGTTGTAGCCGCTTAGTTCCGCCGCACGTCGTTTAATTCCGCCGCGTTTGTTCATCACATAATCTACGTGTAGCCTACCGTCCATCGTGCCTGTGATGGCGCCCATCGGTGATTTCGCACCCATCGGTGTTATGGCACCGGGGTGCGCAAAAATATCAAGAACGACACGGTTTAATTGTATTTCCGCACCGGTATCGGTGTTATCGCACCCGGTGCGATATCAACGTTATAAAACCTGCTGAGGACGAAATTTTGCGTGCTTCCGCAAGGTACCGGTTCCCTCCGGGACACGTGTCGAACGGTATGTAACGCGGTTGGCAGGTACCAATTGGGCAGCATTTCATGTATGTATATCGTACCGTCGTGGTTTGCGCAGTAGAAACGCTCATGTAGTTTTTTCTACGGTAATTCGTACATCGAACGCACTCACTCACTCAACCAAGCACACAGCAGTACACATCCAACACCTCCAACCAACCGAACAAGAAGGAGTTCGTAAACGGTACTACAATTGTACCGGTACCATGCCCCTTGAGTCAGACAAAGACAGAGGGAAGCACCAGCCAACAAAAGAGGGGCTTTCGACCAACAAAGAGGCTGGGAGAAAAACGATACCCCGCCGCATACATACATACCTTCCCCAGCAGGGAACCACAGCGAGCGTCTGTTCCCTTTGGCACACGCCACCCCAAACTCGGATGCGATCTCATCACTATCACCACTCCTGGTTGCATGGTACCGTCTACGCAAGCTCCTACTGCAAGAGTTACAGTACGCAAGACGAAGACATCTACGCCTTTTCGTGTCTTGAGTATCGCACCTATCGGTGTCATCGCACCGGGGTGCGCCTACTCAGCTCCGCATCATGGCCATTGTGATTTCTTCCATATAACAACCCATCGGTGTCATCGCACCGGGGGTGCGTTAGAAATCTAGAACGAAACCATTTAATTGCATTTCCGCACCGGTATCGGTGTTATGGCACCCATCGGTGTTTTGGCACCGGGGTGCGATAAAAAACAAGATAGGAATGATTTCAACAAACGAAAGGCGGGGGGGGCAGATTCATTCGTGGGGTGGGGGGGGGGGGGGGTACCCCTAATCCTGCCTGCCCTAATCCTTTTACCCTTTACCCCCCAACCCCACCAAACCCGGACCGAACACCCCCGGGTCTCCCCCGACCAAGCTCCCCCATCCCCCAACCCCAAACCCCCTGAGGGATTTTGCCAATCCCAAGAAAGGGGAACTTAACCGCCTCCCGCCAAAGGTGTTCCGCATCCTGTGCTTACCTCCCGCCTACCGAAGAAAACCGCCTAAAACTTAATTTACTTTCTGGGGCTTTCCCTTCCCAAAAAAGTTATAAACCCCCTGTAACTGCCCCCAGGAAACTTGACCATTTTAACACAACCTGGTGCGAACATCCCCCCTTGCGCGGAATGAGGGTTCTCCACCCCCCACAACATGATCTACTCCACCACCATTATGGTTACCCCCCAAAAAAAAAACCCAAGTAAAAAAAAAAAAACGGGAACCTGGTTGCCGAATTC